CGCATGCCCTCGGCTGCACACCGCTGGCCTCTACGTGGCACTGCTGGGACATGTTCCGGCACCCGCACACCAGTGCGTCACGCTGCTGGTTGTTACACTGACTTGCCCCACAAGCTGCAACAACTACGGCAGCTGCATTAAACAACCATCGCAGGTCCCTTCCAACTAACTCCACTATTCCAGGCCACTCTATTCCACCCTATTTTCCTATTACACTCATACCCCTTCTCCCAGCAAGCACCTCTTAAGCTTCACTGCTCAGAGCTCATGCTAACTCGCCACCACCCAGGCTGCCATCTGCTGCCACGTGCCCAGGACACTTGGCCAACTGTCACCTCCTGACCACCTGCTCCGACTCCCGTGGCTTTGACCGGCCACATCTGCAAGCACCCGGGAGCCAACATGCTGTAGAAACCCTGCTGCCACCCACCCGTGACTCCAACAACCATGCTGCCTGTGGTGCCCTGACCCCCAGACAGACACTCCCACTAAGGCTGCTTCCCTCCCAATGTCAAGGCACACACAATGGCTCCCTCTCCCCTGTTTCCACTGCCAGCTCCACCACCACCACCACACAAGCCCAGGACAAAAAAAACCAATCAGCCACTTGGGCAATGACTTACGTTTCAACATCCTTCCCTGCTGCGCTGCTCTACATCTGACATGCTCCTTTCCTCATCCACACAGTCCTTGTCTTCAAACCTAGAGTGGGACCGGGAAGGCAGCTCCTGTCAGTCGCAGAGCTGCCTAAAGTTGCAAGGAGCAAAAACCCTCCTCCCAGCATCGCCATCGGCCCCATGGTGGCACCGCCTCGTCCCTTCATTGTCCGTCGCTCCCACTTCCTCTTCCTGCCTTGGACGTGCTGCACGGTGAAAGTCTTCGGGCTCCAGCTTTCCTGCTGCCTACAGCCACCTCTGTGCCACCTGCACACCATCACCTCAACACCCTTTGGTGCAGAGAACAGACTCACTTGTCTTCATCCAACTCCTCCGTGGTGGGACAGCGCCTTGGGCTGCTTCTCCTTAGTGCCATGAGGATGAGTCCGACGGCAACAGGGACAAAGAGGCAGAAGGTCAGAAGCAGCCACAGTTTTGGTGAGCCCTCGCTCCCGACGTCTGCTTCATCTATGCACAGGAAACAAAACAACCTCCTTGAGCCCATCCTGGGACACACCACAGGACCCAGACACTTGCCTACACAGCCCTGCTCTGGCAAGCCACTGCCAGAATGGGAATCCGTCGCCCCGGCCCCAGAACCACTTCTTCCCGTGATAACCCTCACCCCGAGCAGCCGCTGCCCTCGCCACTCACCATCTCTGGAGGGGCTGCTGCCGCTCCCCCCCATCGCCCATTGCCCCTGCTTTCCCCTGGCAAGTTGGTGGTTTCCACCCGGGCTGGCAATGGCAGCTCCCTTGATTATTGCAGACCTGCATGACGGGCAGGGAGAGACAGGATTTATAGCCAGCTGCAGAGGAGCATGCCCACACATCCTCACTCACCAGACACTGGGCACAGATGTCAGGGCACCTCGTGCCAGGCAAAGCTTCCCCGCACGCAACTCGCCTGGGACTCACGTGGCCGGCCCTTTGCCTCAGTCAATGCTGGCTGTCCCCTCCTGGGGCACTGCCTTCTCCCCATCCTTATCGCTTCTTCCAGCCTCCCAGCAGGCTCAGACCCTTTCCGTTTGGCTGATTTACAAAGAGGAGCCGCTTGGCTCTGGGAAGGAGTTCTGCTAAGGGCGCTACACATGCAGCCTCGAGAGACGATCCAACCCCCCCTCGGCTGCTCTTCCCCACAAATATGACCCAAGACGCCGCTTTTGCGAGCCACGTCTCCAGAGAGTTGAACAAACCACAAACAACAATGCGCAGCACCGTTACTTACACCGTGATTGTGGCACTTTGTCTTCATCTCACATTTATAGTTCAGGACAGTGGCAGGCACACACTGCTGGTTCAGGCAGATCTACAGCACAAGCATACGGGCAACCTTGGGTCAGCCAGCCGGGCAGTTACACACCCAGCTCCAACTCAGGAGAGCTGCAGATTTTTTGGGAACTCACAAGGGAGCATCAGGCTTCATGACCCCGTCCGAAGGGGGTCATGCTGCCCATACATCCATCCCGACTCCTTCAGGATGAAGCTGACAGAAAAGCCGCTGCCCTCGGGGCCCCGATGCCACTACTGCAGCAATACTTTCTACAAGTCCTTCTTCTCCCAAGGGAGCTGCTACACGTCAGGGGATCGCTTACCTTGTGGTCATCACAGACGGTGCCATCGTTCACCAGCATGGGGTCCCTCTCTGTGGGAGGCTTCATGTAGTCTAACGTTACACACAGCGTGTTCTGCACCCGAGCGTAAATCACCGCAGCCTTCTCCTTGGTAAAGGGCTTAGAGCCCAGATATTCACACACAAGCTTCCCACATCGGAGATCCCTGCAAAGGCATCGCGAGCGAAGGACTTGACAACAGCCACCTTCATCCTTCCATTTCAGCTCTGTTGCCAACACCGAGCGAGTGCTTGGAGAATGGACCCCCAACACCCAATTCCCAGCACATGGACACGGCACGCTGTTGTGGTTTAACCCGGCAGGCAGCTAAACACAGCCATTTGCTCACTCCCCCCATCCCAGTGGAATGGGGGAGAGAATCGGAAGAAAAAAAGTAAAATTCATGGGTTGAGATAAAGACAGTTTAATAGGACAGAAAAGGAAGGGAAAATAATAATAATAATGATAAAATAATATACAAAATAAGTGATGCACAACGCAATTTCTCACCACCCACCGACCGATGCCCAGCCAGTTCCCAAGCAGCGGTCACCCACCCCCTGGCTAACCCCCCCCCTAGTTTATATACTGAGCGTGATGTCATATGGTATGGAATATCCCTGTGGCCAGTTTGGGTCAGCTGTCCTGGCTGTGCCCCCTCCCAGCTTCTTGCTGGCAGGGCATGAGAAGCTGAAAAGTCCTTGGCTAGTGTAAGCACTGCTCAGCAACAACTAAAACATCGGTGTGTTATCAACTTTGTTCTCATCCTAAATCCAAAACACAGCACTGTACCACTACTGGGAAGAAAATTAACTCTATCCCAGCTGAAACCAGGACACACGCTTACGTCCACCATGGGCCCTTTCTGCATCCCCCCCTCCCAGCCTGTGCACTGACCAGCTCTGCACGGGCACATCCAGTGCCCCTGCCTACCCCAGCCCCGGGACAGCACATTTCTCTCCGCTGATAAGTGGCTGAGCTCAGGAAGCCCATCTGCGCTCTGCCTCTTCCCTGCCATGGGGCCAGGCTCCCTGCTCCATGGCAGACCACGCTTTGGCCAGAGCACCCCGGCACCCTTGCTATGGCACTTACTTCCATGCACAATGCTGGTAACCACGGCGATTGGAGCCGCAGTGTCCCATTCTGTCCCTTTGGCCATTAATTTCTTCGTAGCAGGCCAAGGGCCCGTTCCTGGCACCTGCAAACACATAACAACACTCATGGTCTGTCGAACAGTCTCTCTCCACCTCGGGGTTGGGCATCGCCATTTAGGCCACACACTATACCCGCTACTCAGTGGTGCCCGGGGCCACCTGCATGCTCACAGGCATTTGGAGCCTTGGTTGTGTGGGCGCTCAGACCCAGCCTGCTCACCCTCATGACCCCTACAGCCTGCCGCAGTGGGATGCTCCAGCTGCCTCCCTTCTGCACCCCTGCATGGCCGTCAGCTTCACGCCAGGCTCCCCCCGGGACAGCCACAAGACCTTCTGGGACATTTCTGGGAGTTGCATCCCAGAGAACGAGACCATCCACCTGGCTGGAAAGGACAGCACTCGCAGCTAGCCAGCCCCGTCCTGCATGGCAGTGTCCCCCACAGGCAGCTCCCACCACCGCTTCAGACTACACACTGCTCCTTCATTGCCAGCCTCCCTGGAACAGCATCAGTGCTGCAACACATCATGTGCACATCTCATGACCCTGCGGTCATGAGGCAGATGCTCATTGCGAGCCATTTCTCCAAGTGCCCAGGGCACTCACGAGTGCATCGTACCTGACAGCATGCCGCCAGTGCAGTCCCATGTCTCCTGGCAGATGTGCTGTGCCACTCCAACTTCAGTTATGCCAGCCACAGCCAGGCCAGCTGCCCACCCTTGTCCCTGGGCACCCTTCCTGTGGTGCACTCGTGCTTTTCCACCAGCCCCTCGGCCGCTTGCTCTTTCAACCAGCTTGGATCAACTTCCATGAGATCTCTTCTCTCACTGACACGTCCAGTCCGGCTACGGGGACCTGGTCCCTTACAAACACCCGCAGACTAACCCATGCCGCAGCAGCACACCGATGGACAGGCAGCCCAACATGTTTCCTCCCTTTCCTCCACATCTCCTGCCCTTTTCGCCCGCACACATGGGTTGGGCTGCCGGGGTTTCCCACTGCAATGCTTCCCTTCCAGGACTTTGCATTTCCCACATGACAGCCAGCCCCCCTCCTGCAATCCCTTACCTTGGCCAAAGACCTTCTGACACTGCTTGTCGGCTGTCTGGCATACTCCCTGGTAGCAGAAGGCGGTGTTCCTGCTGCAGGGATGCCCGTCCATGACCCAGAGGTCGGGTGTGCACTCCCCAGAGGTGCCGTTGCAATATTCCTTCAACTCGCACTCGTCCTCGGAGCTGCTTCTACATAATGTGCCTCTTTTCACAAACTAGAGGAAAGGAAATAGATTAGATTAGAATAGAATGTCAATAGAACAGATTACAACAGAAAGAGAAGAGAGGAGAGAAGAGAGGAGAGAAGAGAGGAGAGAAGAGAGGAGAAAAAATATTTTCCAGTTGGAAGGGACCTACACCGATCATCTCGTCCAACTGCCTGACCACTTCAGGCACACTGCTGGCTCCTATTGAGCCTGCTGTCGACCAGCACCCTCTGCTTCCGCCACATGGCTTCCAGCTGCCTGGAATCGAGGCCCATAAGGGAGACATTTCAGACCAACCGCTCTATCTGCCATTTTCAACAACTGCATCAACCAGCGACACAAACAAAAGGACCCCCAAAGCTTCTCCCATGGTAACACCGGCTGGCCTGATCTGCACAACGTGTAGAGTAAATACCTTCCAGACACCACAGCGGCTCTCCCCCAGAAAGAGAAGTCTCAGCTCCTCTGGCTCTTGACCACCCTGCACCCTGTCTTCTCTGTACATTTGCAAGACCAAAGCTGCTGGTACTTTGAAGCCCCAGCTGCAGTCCCCCCCGAACTCCTGCACACCACAAGACTGTTGGCACCCGCATAGCCCAACACGGCGTGACTCTCATGTGCTGATTTCTGCTTGCCCTGCCTTTGCTCTGGCTCCTGCGGCCTCGGCTCGCTCCTCTGCCCCGCCGCCCTCCCCTGCAGCCTGCACAGCTCTTGGCAAGGGGGCAGACATGCCACCACTGACAGGAGTCACCGGGTCCCAGGCAGCCTGTGCTGCCCAGCTGGGAAGGCCAAACAGGGGGATGCCGCTACAAGCCTCACATGCGGCCATAAAGTCGGCATCTCCTTCACCTCGGTACTTTGGGAGCAGGCGCAGTACCTGTGCCCTAAAAATACCTTCCTGGGACACAAGCACCGAACTGGCACCAGCACTTCACAGCACTCACTTCACTTTCCGACACTCGCTGACCCTCCACATCAGCGCACTAGCCAGTACCGTTGGCTGGACACACAGCCCCCATTTACCCCTGGGGTCCCGTTACATTCCCGCTTCACATTAGTCATGTAAGCGAGTGATGCCGGCACGGGGGCTATCCCTAGGGAATGCAGTGTGTCTGCTCCCGACACACGGCTTACCTGGCATTTCCGGCAGCATGGTCCTGACAGGCACTGCGCCCCTCTCCTCATCTTGCAGCCAATGGTGCAGCACAGGTCGCGCCGACATTCCTGGAGGTGACCGGTGGGGACAGTCAGGCGAGGTTCCACCTCTCCCAAGGACAACAAGGGAACAAGCTAGAGAGCTTGGCCTTTCCCTCTGGCAGTGCCCACCATCCGAGGTAGCCACCTCTCAGGCTCTCCAGTAGCGCCCAGGGTCCCTGGGCAGAGTCCCTCTGCCACGCTGGCTGCCCCCAGCCATCCACGCTCCCATGGCAAGACCGTATTTTCCATCCTCACAACCATACATGCTTGAGGCCGGGGGGGAGCCGTTGCCAGGTCTGGCAGCACTTGCGGGGACAGAGATCGCTCATGGATGTGTGTGCACAGCTGCACCCAGGTTGGCGGAAAACTGGGGGTCTTCTAGCAAGACAGTGGAGTTCATCCGCTGCTTGCCAGTTCTCCTCTGCGACAGGAGTACTGCTCCTCTACCAGACCTTCCCCGCTGCCTCCACCTCTGCCTACACCCTGCCAGCAAACCACACGACCACTACAGCACCCCTGCCTTTTTGGCATGCTGCAGTCACAGAGTTTGTCCCCACAACATCACCACGTGCCACTCTGGTGTGCAAAACTGCTTCCCAAGTGGTATCAGCAGCTGGACACCTTGTCAGGTCCCTAGGGTAATCCTCCCAGCACCATTTCAGGCTGTGTCCCTGCAGCAGGGGGCTGGGGGCAGCCCCTCATTGTAGCTACAACCACTTACAAGCTCCCTCTATCCATCCGTTACCAACACCATACGACAGCCCTCTACGACAGCTGCTTTGGACATGGTGGCAACCATAGGCAAGCGTCTGCATGGCGCCAGCGCTGCTTTAGGGTTTCATAAAGCCTCAGGCCCTCTCTGCCCTGCACAGAGGTCTGGGGGGTACAGGAGCAATTCACGCCTCTCTTGGGACAGTTCATCCCCCCCAGGGACACATGGCTTGGCTCCCTCCCACTGTACCAAGGCTCCACAACTAACCTCTGCTGACCCACAGTCACAAGCCTCTCCCGGCTCCACCACTTTGTTGCCGCACACGGGAGCTTTATATGCTGCATCCATAGCTGGCCTGTTCAGCAGACACTGCCCTTCTCCAGCGCTGAGAAAATGCTGAAAGTCTCTTACACTGCAGCTGCTGAAGGCTTTCACGCCCGCTGAGTGTCTGCAAGTCAGAGGACAGGGCTGCCGTTACCACGGTCTGCATTTGGGGCTGTGTGGCCCTTCCCGCCTGCAGAAGACGTCGGTAACGCGGGGTGGCTGTTCTCCGCTGCGGTTGCCCCCAGGAGCTGCCCGCTGTCTGCCCCCTCCGCCCCTGCACACTCCTGGACACGTCCCCTGCTCTGCCCCCCTCAGGCGGCATCGCACAGATGGGCACCGTGCACACCCAGCGGGAGCACACCCCACTTGTGCCATCACACCGAAACCCACCCATGCACCAAGGGGGCGGGGGGAGCCTTACACCGAGCTGGCCCGCATTACACAGATGGCTCCTGCGCAGTGACAGCTCCCGGGTTCGTTGTACGCCATCCCCAGGCTGAGCCCCAGCAGCTGGGCCACGACGACTGCAAACGCCTCAAGTGTCATAGCCCTCCGGTACTGCAGGGGGGACAAGGACCAGCCTCAACCCA